GGTAGTGTTTACTTGTAATTTCTTGGCAAGGAAGTCAGGTCGTGTCAGCGGACAATGTCTCGTGGTTTTGGCGGGAGTGGCTGCCAATCGGAGCGCGCTCGCTGTTGCTGGGCGGGGCGAGGCAGGCCGTGACCGCACTTGCGATCTGTGTTTCCTGTACCCGCGTATGCGTGATTGGTGTTACCGGGCAGAGGTGAAGGGTTGGCGGCCAATCACGGCGTGATTGGGCGTGGCCCCGCTACCCTTGCCGTGGTACTTGAGCGCATGGTCGGCCGGGCGTGAGTCAGTTGTGTTCAGTTCAGTTGTTCAGTTCAGTTGCGTGAGTTGCGTAAGTTGTTCCTCAGTTCTGTGTATGGAGCGGGCTCAGTAGTAGTGTACGAGTGAAATTGCCATTGTCCGTGACGAAGCTAGTGTTTGCTTTGGCGAGGCCGTGTGTGGTGCAGTGTACCGGTGTTGACGCTGTTTCGGCCTGACTTCTCGTACCGTGGTTGAGCGATTGTACGGAGCGCAGAGCCCCGTGGTGTGACCCAGTTAGCTTGGTAGGACCGAATTGCTTTGTGTAATTTAGTGCATGTTTGCGCAATTGTTGCAGTTGAGTGTTTGACTTACAGAGTAGGGTGACTAAGTACAGGCATAAGGATTGTTGTCGTGGGTTCACAGAGACGTGCGATAACATAGAGGGTCGACCCAGAGGTTGACATAGAGGCCTGGGAGGAATAGTCACAGGTAGTCAATAACTGCACTCGGTCAAGTTTATTGTCACACAGGTTTTGTCGTATACTGATCAGCTAAGGCGCTCAAACTTATATAATCATAACAATCCAACGATAATAAATCAAAGAGTTCCAAATCAAGTCAGAATTGTCCGTGATTAAATAAACCAATCATTTCCTTTCCACAAAGAGAATTGTGTATCCCAGTGTCCAATATTTCTGCAGTTTCTTCGTCTGTTTGTTCTGTTCTGTACTAGAGTAACAGGGCCTGGTAATCAGTATCCAACTGGGCGGTATATTTCCACCAAAACGAGCTTGCATCCCTGGGCCTAGAGGCTGCTCGAAAACTTCCCTAGGTTCGAGGCAGAAAACATAGTTTGGGGTTAGGGGAACTTCCACCTCAGTCGGTGATTGCCTTCCCTGACCTCTGGTTTCAATTGACCTCGGGAGATTCCGCCACAATATCATAACTCGCTCATTATGATGTGTAATATGGAACATTTAAAAAAAAAACCATAATAATCAACATTCCACTTTTTACCCTAGTCCAAACCAGTAACTGGAAACATTTGTTTGTTTTTTTCTTGAAGGGGGCATAAACGTTTTATTGTCATTCTGATTTTTTTTTTACAAAACAAAGTTTACGGGATTAGAGCAATATTTTGTTTTCAGGATATTTTAAAAATGATATATAAAGCATACATGTACAAGTTTGCTTATTATGAAAAGGTCAACTTAACCCCTCTGGGGTTATACATTCCTGAACTACACCTGGCAATGAATGTAGAGGTACAGTAGTTTAAAAACAAATCACTAATTAAGTAACATATGGCTTAAACCTTGAAACTTTGCCCCTTGTTAGTGGGGGGGGGGGGATTCCTGGCAATTTGATGGTTTTTTTTCGTAGTGGGAGGAGTTTCGTTTGTAGTCAGAGGATACCCTCAATTAATTTTTATGGAGGGATTTAATAATTGTCAATTAAGATGTTTTACGCCAGGTGCAGTTCTGGTCTTTTAAATTTGGCGTAATTCCTTTTTATAGTTTATGCGATGATGTGAATAATGACTGTCGGAAATATTACTTAAATGTAGCATAATGTCACACATTATTTCTTCATTTTATAACAAAATCTGAAATTTGATGATGATTTTCCTATTTGTTAGGAAAGAGAATTTTCTGTTCTAAAACCGTGTTTTAAAATATGTGTTTGAAAAAGTGTTCCGTGCACGTCGCAAGCCCGGGCGCTTGATTTTTCTTCAAACTGTCTCCTCAGTTGCATGTCACTGCGTCAGCGCTTAATGTACGTGAACATGGGCGTCGCCAGAATTTTTTTCTAGAGGGGGCAAACAATTTTGTTGCCAAAAAATGCTTGTATTTCTCAACACATTCTCGATTTATCAGTTTTAGAGGGGGGCAGGGACATTTTGCCCCTCCCCCCAACTCATATAATTTATACCACTTTGTCTTCACGCCTCTTGTTTGTTTTTTTTCCCTTTTTTGGGGGGGGGGGTGCTTTTCCGGGGGGGGGGCAAGTGCCCCCCTTGCCACCCCCCCCCCCCCCTCGCGACGCTCATGTACGTGAAGTGATGAAGTGCCTCAAGTATTCGTGATTATTTTGTGCTAGCCAGTATGTGCTAGTCGAGTCAACTAGCACCTGAGGTGCATAGAGTCGTGCCTCAGGTGTTCATAATTCTGGGACAAAGACGTGCTAGTCAGCATATGCTAGTAAACATAATGACGATAGAACCTCAAGTGTTCATAATTCTGGGACAAAGATGTGCTAGTCAGAATGTGCTAGTAAACATGTGCTATTAGTACCTCACGTGTTCATGATTCTGTGACAAAGACGTGATAGTCAGTGTGTGCTAGTTAATATGTGCTAATAGTATCTGAAGTGTTCATGATTCTGGGACACAGACGTGCTAGTCAGTATGTGCTAGTTAATATGTGCTAATAGTACCTCAAGTGTTCATGATTCTGGGACAAAGACGTGCTAGTCAGTATGTGCTAGTATGTGTGCTTGTGGGTCACATGGCACCAAAGGTGCATGATATAAGTGTCTCAGGTGTTCATGATTCTGGGACAAACATCCGCTAGTCCACAAGTGCATGAAGTGCAGTGATTTTTTTACAGTGCGAATAGTTGTGGTGCTTCAATTTGTGGTTAGACACCGCTTCACAATTTAATCCGTGCATCCCTATAATTAGGAAACTTTTTAGACCGTTAGGTATATTCTGACATGCTTGTCACATACCCATGGGTGGAGCAAACAGCAAGTGCACCTAAAATAGCTGCAAGCAAAAAACGTGCGCAATGGCATGAACATTTAAAGAGACGGTGATTTTTTCCCCTATTTCCTTCAAGAACACTATATCCTTTAAGCAAAGTTGTGACGAGTCACTGACTTCTTTGACTCGAGTCGAGTCATTTTAAAGACGTTACTACAGTCGAGTCGAGTCATAGGTCAAGAAGGTCGAGTCGAGTCGAGTCACAGTGTTGAGTTAAGTCAAGTCAAGTATTAGCTCGAGTCAAATCAAGTCACAAATATTTGAACCCTATACAATAAATAAACACGAGAGAGAAAAGCATTTTTTGGCTTTTGTAATTTTACATTCGGTCTTCTACGTGTGGTGACACCACATTTGACTCTTAATGAACAAGGGGGTGCCAGCTGATCGCCATAATATAACTAACGGGGACACTGATCAAACCGCGTATGTATAAGTACACATTAGTCTGCGAACCTTCTAATGGGACGTGAACAAAACCCGGACCGGCGTAAGACATTGCAAATATTGTTCGCAAGTTTTGCTTTCATTTTTGGGACTCGAGTCGAGTCGATTTATTTACCCTTAGGGACTCGAGTTAATTCGAGTCACCGAAAATGGTGACTCGAGTCGGACTTGAGTCGAGTCATTGAAACGAGTAATAACAACTCTGCCTTTAAGACATAACAACTGCACACCATACGTACCAGCTGGGCATGCTTTACAGGCATGGCTCGAAGCATCTCCATAATGTCCTTGGGCACAGGGCTTACATCGCCACGAATCAACTTTGAAGTCAGGTCTTGAACAGGAGAATCCAGACTTATTGAAGAGTGTTGCCATTTCCTTCGATACAAGTATCGGTAGGGCAAACCCATCACCAACCTGTTCACTGTAATTGGAAAGAACAAAAGTTAACCCAAGGTCGATGTGTCATTTTACAATACCCTGTGCCAATGCAAGATAGGCCATGTCTATAGGGTCCATACGGTGAACTTACCTTAGGAACACATTTTATGTAATTTTCTACTCCTCAATGTTTGTAAACTATTGACATCTTTTTTTTTGTTGATGCTTTTGAAAAGTGCGCTTCTTTAAACGAATGTTTGTTTGGTTTGATTTACCTAGTACAAGTAATGGTGATGTTGCTTTCATGTCGTATTGGGAAGTCACTGTTCAGTTAAGGGGTTTCAGTTCAAGTTGTGAACCAAGTATTTAAGAAGTATAGTCTGTCACTTGCCAATCTGGCCCCCTGGCCGGCGTTTATCACCGGTTTTAGTAGAATGAAACGACTGAGAATATGTCTATCCCCCGGATGGGATGCTAATCCATCGCAGGTTACCCCAGCTTTTGCCGGTACCCACTTGTACTTCTGGGTGCAGAGAGGCAAGTGGTGGTAAAGTGGACACAACATAATATGACCAGCAGCTACATTCGAATCCCTAACCTTCAGATCATAAGTCACGAACCTCACCACTAGGCCACACTCACTTTAAAATAAGGTTAAATTTGTTACAGGTGCATACCTAAGGATTGCATAAAAAAATACCGGGTAAGTAAAACAAAACAGAGCCCATTTTTTTTTAGTGAAGTTCTGCGTGAAGCACTTTCCAAATCTAGGATATTAAAGCCCAATTCATAAGTTTTGTGTACAACAATAATTGAAATCACTCATGTACTTTTCAAGATACGGAAGTTTAAACACAAACACTGTTTTAAATAAAGTTCTGTCCACGGATCACAAAAAAGGCAAGTGTTCTTCCAGCAAAACGAACATAAATCACATAGGGATGTATGTGAATGTGTATGGGATGAATGTGATTTAATTGATTCTGGTACTGAAAGAAAACTCACGAATTTGGTTTTCATATCCTAGATTTTTGAAAGTGCTACATGCAGAACTTCACTAAAATTATGGTCCTGATTGTTTACTTTCTCAAACTAACGTATGAGCCCTTTGAGAAAGGAAACAAAATATCTAGTAATTTTCATGTAATAATTACGTCATGACAGTCGATCCTTACATTTCCAGGTCAGTCCGGCATGTGACAGGCGCAAACTGGAGGGTGCTATCAACGGCCCTGAGAATAAAGGAACATAATGTTATGGTAGTGTGGTCGAAACAACACCAATAATTGTTATACAAAATAGGTGTTATACAAAATAAGTGAAGGGTTTATGAGGTTAATCCTTATTGTTTAGCTAAGATTTGTTCCAATTAAAAAACACAGGTAAACATGAAGAAACATTAACAATAGTTACGATTTTGGCAGCGCAGTAGTTCAAATGAAGGTTAAACTTGAACACGGAAACCTGGAAACGCAAACTGTAACTTACACATAGGAGTTGGTGCCCAAATCTTGCCATACGACATCGGAAATAGTTGTCAAATGACTGCCATACAACGATCTGGAAAAAATCGGTAAAGTAAGAATCAATCAATGCTTAACCATAAGTGTTTCATCAAACCTGGCAAATTGGCGAAACCAACAATGTAACATCAAACCGATACATTTACGTAATTGGGACCGGCAAATGCAAACATACAAACTGGGCTTTAAAGTGATATGGGAATCTTGTTCCCGAAGGGCCAAGGTATGCATATGAAACCCAAAAGTGTATGCTATGACAAAAATGATGGTATACAATACTTGACTCCTTTCGGAGAAGCAAACAAATTAGAAAATTGCATGATTGATGTACTTACACCTGTTTGATTGTGTTATTGACGGTGGCAAATGGTCTCTCTCCGATCGAAGAAAAGTTGTTTTGGAACATGTATCTAACAAAAAATTGAAAATGAAGGATATTTTTTTGTACCATATTAAGTTTACAAGCAATAACCCAAGTTGTTATCATTAATGGGGTTTCCGAAACAGTTGATTTCGTCTTCGGCTTTGGCTTTGGCTTTGCCTCTGAGGTATGCATCACTTAGAAGTGAACAAAATGGAAATAATTTAACATTTGGTCTTGTATCATACGACAAAATGCTTCTGAAGCATAACAGTGTGTGAATTGGCAGAACCAAAAGGCCCCGCGCACAACGTACTTGCGTCACACAAGTGCCAATTTAAAATGCCATACAACACTGCAAGTTTCAGCCGGTGGCGAAAGAAAATCCGACTTAAAGAAATAGGACTTGTTTAATACTTCCAATGGGTCCGTATATCATTGAAACCTAAATTCACGCCACACACGCGCGTCATGTAAGTGCACGCAATGCTGGACATAAAATGTTGCTGTGATTGGTTAAAGATTCATAGATCGGAGCTTGGTTTATCGATGTTGTTTTGGTTAAAGTAGTACTTAATGTGACGAACGAGTTGAGTAGTTACCCACGCTTCCGCCATATTACACCTCTACGGTTGCAGACATGTAAATACATGCAGACATGTAAACAGGTACTGCACAGCCGATCAAGCACGCTATGGGCGGCAAACATGACGAATCGTGCACCTGGCACTTGTTAATGTGAAATAAATATACAACCTCTATAACATCACTTAATAAACAATTGATTGTAGATGATATGCATGTACTTACAAATTTGTGAGCTGCGTGTTAAAGAAAAGCCAGGCTTGTATCTCAATGAGAGGATTGCCAAATACGGATCTATGAAACAAAATCAAGACACTGGAAATCATTTTGAATACGCCTTATTACTACACGAGGGCATACCATTGTTTAGCGAAACTAAACTTGGTTTTCGCCAAAGGGATTTGCAACGGCCAGGCAATTTGTTCCCTTAAGGTTCTGGCATGATCGACACATATATCTTAAATCAACAATTTTTACGCTGTCTGTTTGTTTGATGTATGTCTGTCTGTCTGATGTTTGTCGCCGCCCAGTCGCCCCTCCCCCACTGAGATTTTGAGTTTTTAAAAACAATTATCGTTGATCTACATGACGCCCCCATGACATGTTCCAGCCCCCCCCCAGCGCCCCCCCCCCCACCCCCACACACACTGACGAATTCCTGGCTACGCCACTGAAGCCGAGAGGGCCTGTGGAAGATTATGACCAACTTTGGCTGCCCCGACATGTTCATTAACATGGTCTGAGAAATCCACGATGGCATGCAAGCTCGTGTCCAAGACAACGGCGCATTCTCTGAGCCCTTTCGAGTGGCCAACGGAGTGAAGTAAGGCTGCGTCCTGGGACCTACCCATTAACATGATGTTCTTGGATATGCTGACAGATACCTTTTGTCGCGGGGATATAGGGGTCTATCTGCAATACTGCTCTGACAGCAAGTTGTTTAATCTGCGCAGACTCAAGGTGGCACGGGAAACGTTACAAATTAAGGCACCCTTAATGCCTCCGTCAAATGTTGCAGCATAGATCTAGAGACGTGGGACATCATTTCGCAGCACCGCTCCAACTGACCTATAACTTAGTCATGCACGGCGTAAAGAAGTATGAGAAAGGCCGCATCTGTGAAGCCGAACAAAAACGACAGCTCTGTAAAAACAGATCAAGTTCCTCCTGTCCACCTAGTTAGCCCCCAACCAACACCTGCTCTTACTGCAATCATTCATTCTGCGCCAGGACCGGCCTCATTGACCATCTTTGCACACTCAATTATTTGTGAAGTTGTGAAGCATGTATGATACGAATTCACAGTCCTCTAATATCACGGTAGGTTCATGATTAACATTATACATTTGTTTTGTTTTGCTTTTTTTTAGCAGATGTCCTTCTTTCATCAGACTTTGAATAGTTTAAAGTTACAACATTAGGCCTATATATATAACAACAAAAAAACATTCCATAACGTTTCGCTATAACGCAAAACAAAACGATGATGACAAATGTGGCAAAGTTGCTTCAACCAAGGTTTACCACGGCAACCGGTGGTAAACATGCAAATTGAGGTCGAAGTTTCCAATACATTGTGAAGCACGACATCCCGGTAGAGGAAAGTCCCCCCAAAAATATTATTCTGGCACGATCGACAAATGATTGCAAATACATGGCCTTGTGACTGCAACTTGGGAACAGCAAATACCTGGATAAGTAAACACTGATTTAAAGCTAGATTTTTTTAAATAAGCAGTAAGCAAAAAAAAAAAATAAAAAATAAGCGATAAGACTCACAGTACTTCTAGAGAGTGAAGATCCTTAAACATTTCTCTGGTAATGACCCTGATTTGATTGCGTTGCATGAAGAGTGCCCGTAGCTTGGTCTGGTTGCGAAATAAGCCATCGGGGATGGATGGGAGACGATTGAAGCCAATATCACTTCAAAATATGAACATATTGAGAGAAAAAAGGAACGTCAAACCCATGCATAATTTATACCACACTTCAAGTGTTTTCGAGTCAGCAATGTAGGTTAGACAGAGCGAAGGTGCACTTTTTTTCTTCAGAGCTCATTTCTTTATACGGGGTTGGTTTGGTTGAGAATTTCGATAGACTAACTTGATAGTTGTCCCTCTTGGGGAAAAAACTCCAAGGATTAGGTGAGGACTGCTCGAATCTAGGCACGCTGTGCATACGACCATTCTCTTACCAAATATTACATTGGGTCACGTATTTAGACTAATACATACATGTATTGCCCCGAAAAACAGTTAGCCACCTCGAGTTTTTGCTTCAAGGAAGGATTTGTTTTGGCGCATTGTATCGGCAAAAAAAAATAGACTGAACGTTGTTGCAAAAAAATTGACTTATGTATAAGTGTGGCGATTGAGACCATAACAAATAGTCTGTCAAAACTCTTACAGAACTTCGATTAATGTTGTGTTGACTAGAATATTCTCTGGTAGAAAATCTAGGTAGTTATCGGCTATCAACCTGTATGGTATAGAAACGGATACATATGACAACCTCATTACATTTTTGGTGATAATCCTTTTATTAAAAGAAGCGTTATTAAACATGTACTCGTGTGTAATCTGTTATGATAAACAATCTCGATTGAAGAATTTTGTTTTAACATACATGTACTCAGGTCATGCAGTCAACGGAGACTATTATTTCACGTTAGAGTAATGAATAACTGTTTTGGAAAGGACCTTCATTAATAAAAAATAACATCTTGCCTATAGTTTTGTACTATCGATGAAGCGACATTAAGACATATTCAAACATGAATAAGAAGAAGTACAGCGTGTCCAAATCAACATTGTGCATGAAGAGAAATCGCCGATTTTCTCAAAAAATGTTCAAAGTAGCTTATCAAAGTTTATAGCATTTTCAAGCCCATGGTCTTGTTTATAATTGCTTAAAAAAATCAAGAAAATCCTACGATGTTAACCAAATGTATCTTTGATTTGGTAAGGCTACGTAATTTGCGACCTGCACAATATAATTTCTGCACTTCTGCCAAGTATTGAGTTATTGGTTTGTCTTGTGAGTGCTTGGAATATTGCCTGGCCTTTATGAAGCATTTGGATAATGGTGTTTACAGTTAGCATTTTGGGATATAGAATTTTGCAATCAAATATAATACCACTTGGAATGCCTAATAATGTATTAGCCTAAGTTTAGCCGCAGAATTCTAATTGTGCAGGAGGAAAATAATATGCCTTTTCTTGAAATGTTTACCATTTACAAACAAATCCATAGACTTCAAAATAATATAAAATTTGATTAGCTAGTAAGAATGTCTTTTGAGCAAATCAGAGACTTCTTCATGCACAATGTTTACTGGGACACGTTGTACACTTACAACTGCCCGATTTCAGTCTTCGTGTCAAACAAACCCTCTGGTAGAGTCGTTAGGCGATTGTTCTGCATGAACCTAATACAGTGTGACAGATGTGTAAAATGAAGAGTTAAAAAGCAACTAATAGTGCATTTATGTATTTGTCTGATATTGAACAAAAAATGAATCCCAAATGCCCAATGCGTTTCGTAAATAAAGTCTGTCAAAGCACATTTTATTGTTAATTTGACGTTAAAGTTTACTTACAATCTTTCGACCTTATTAACACCTTGAAAAGCTCCAATGGCGACTCGGCTAACCCTGTTTGTATCACAATAACTGAAGAAACAAAAGAGTTACAGTATTTGAACAATTTAACATGTATCGGATACGTCAAACTGGTTTAATAAAACAGGTTTATTACCGCCGTCTTTTCACCTGCTGTGATACCCTGTCCTGAAGGCTAAAAAAAAAAAGTTTTTATTGGTAAAATTTGTTTTTAAGATGACCGAAACCTAAAGGCCATGGTATTTGTAAAATCATACTCACAATCTCTCGATTTCTTTCCTGTGTTGTTTGTCCGAGGGGTCCACAAATAAACTAGCTGGAATCTCGAGAATTCTATTGTTAAACAAAGCTCTGTGAAACATTGAAAATTGAGATCACAGTTTGAGTATTAATTTGTTCTTTTACTGAGAATGATATTCAATGTGGTAATGTGATAATGCTGTTTATAATTAATGGAAAGGGTATGCATGTATGTATATTATACCGCTTATTCAAAACACTTTAAATGCAAAATGTGTGCGTATAATATACAAATCGTCAGGGTTATCTCTGGTATTTGTTCTAAACAATAATAAAGCCCTCATGCCTTCTTAATTGAAAGTAAAATATATTATGTGTTCTTCATTTTCGAAATATCATTCTACAGTAATATGGCATGTACCACTTGTAATGTTTGAGCAAATCACCTTTGGTAGACATCTGCATTACAAAGAAACGAGCATCATTCTTTGAAGACCTTTCTTATTATTGAGTACTCACCACGACCTACATGTACATGTATACTCACACGGAGGAGATGACTCCGCCGAAAGTGTGTGCCTTTAACACTTGCACATCGTTCTCGTCAATCCACCTGTAATGCCAAAACATGTGAATAATACCCAAGATCGTTTAGCCTATAGGGCAGGACCGGACACTAAGTATTGTGATGTAGAGTCACTCATGACACACGACGACATCATTCAATTGGGCCATAGGGAAGAAGGGTTCCCCTTACGCAGGGTCAGGGTAAACGCGCGTGCGGCAACGGTAAATTAACACGTGGAGTTTGAGACAACGGGTAAGAAATTCGAGCAGGGTGTTCATTGATGAAGAGAGTTTAAAGGTTATGAAATATCGTGTAGGTAAAAAGAGTAACACGTTGAGATTTAGCAATGCTTATCAGTGTACAAAAGCATGTAGATATTAGGGGAGAACACCAGGTAAAGTAACGAATAAGGACTCAAGCGGCGTATTGCTTCAAACGTCCACAATATTCCTAAGAACTAGGCAAGGTTTCAAATTCATGATGTCATCAGACAAGGGGAGGAGAACAGGTAATGCAACGAATAAGGACTTAAGCGGCGGTTGCTTCAAAAGTCCACAACATTTCTAGTAAGATTGTCTTATATTGACAATAATGCAGTTGCAAACGTTGCAAATTTAAAGAGCGCGTGAGTCGAGTGCAAATTCCTGCGTGACTGCCCGAAACGAACTGCATGAATTATCGATCACATAGTGGTTGTATACATGGGAGCGCGTGAAATTGAATCATCCGCTCTGTGTTTGGACACTGAAGACCATATAAGGGCCAATGAAGTACGGGCATGTGTTTTTGCGCTTCGCAATTTTTCTTCGTGTATCTCGTAAGTTGCAACTTTTCAAACTGCACTGTTTTTCATTAACCGTTGTCAATCTTGAACGATTAACAGTATTTTGCAGCAAACGGGGTACAAAAATGTGGGTCACAGAATTTCCCAAAGGTATACATAAATGACGTTATCATAAGACGATCAGATTAAAAATATCAGATTGCTGTGTTTAGTTAAGGCGCTGCTCTCCCTTTCAGCGTACTTAGCCCATATTCCACCGTCCCTATATAGTGTTTCTTACACTTCTTGGATCTGCAGTCCTTTGAAGGTATCTGGGCCGAGCTCCTTTAACTTATTTCTGCGAAGACTCCTGGTAGATTAAAGAAACGCGAAACAAAATGTTAATTCAGTTTATATTTACACAATTTCCAACGTGAATACAAAGCCAACCCCCTCAATCATTAAAATTCATTCCTGTATCATCATGATTTGTTTCTGTTTCTTTACTTATTGCTGCTTGCACAAAGTGACAGTTAAGGAGTAAATAGAAACTTACAATGTGCTTATGTCCTTCGGGCCAGTCAATTCCTTGGCTGATATGGTCGATAACCTGTTTTTATCCAGTAATCTGATAAAACCAAAACATTCCATATTTTTCTTTTGCAGATGTGGCAATTTTATATCATCAATCTTTTTGGACCCAGTCATACATGCAATGGGCCGTGGTTTCGAGTGATTAAGGGAGGGTTGTAGGAGGAGGCTCTCATTCGCCCAGACATTCGGCCTATTCACATCGGCTTCACCTATCATTATAACCATCCCCAGGACAGGATCTGCAGCAAATTGTGAAACTCCACCAACATCAATTTTGGGAGATTCATTTTGTCTTGAAATGGATAGTTTTCTGTCGAAAATCACGCCTTGATTAATGAAAACTTCTTTGGCAAATGCTTTTGCACTCTGTCGTCTTGCATTGATCCAAGAATTTTACCTCTCACATCGCAATACGAATGCCCCCGTAAGTCCCTCTGATGTACCAAAATTGCTAAATGTATCTGTTCTGAATGTTGTCTTTGTTTTAAATGTCTCCAAGTTGGCATTAACATTAATCTAAACCACGAATTAACAAAGCACGTCCCAAGCTGCACAAAAGTGGTCAATTAATGGTAAAATATCTGTTTACTGATTTTGTAACGATATCTTGTTAAAAATATATATATTCGTTAATACTCACAAATATCGAAGGTTGGTGCAACTCTTGAATGCATCCGCTTCAATACTAGTCACGTCATTCCCTTTTAAATTCCTGCAAGAAATTTTGTGTCTTAAATTTGCGCTCCCCTTGCCATTTTCGAATTTCATCCTGAAAATAGATGTTTCTTTATTGGTCATCTTCTAGTAATCATGTTATTTTTGATGGAACATCGACAGTCTGTCATTGAATTATTCCTTTACAATTTCGAATTATTGGCTGCCTGACAACGATTTCCTTCTGGCAGGTGGTCTGGTTCTCGCTCCACAATTAATATCAACAATATACGGACCGGGCGCCAGTAGGCTCATATACTTTAGTCAAGTCGCGCGTGGCTACCCGGACGCGTTGCGCCTCCGATGCCGGCACGAAAAAGAGACCAGTATGCGAGACGATGTCACGGGCGCCTCTACTATATCCTGGAGAACGCTTGTTTTTGTTTGTACACTACCGATTCGGTAGAGAAATTGT